TTTTTTCCCTCTAGCTGTTTAGAAATTAAATGTTATTTTTCCATTCTTCTATTTATTTTACTTTTTATGGCTATTGCTTTTTTTAAAAAGTCACACCTACAGAAAAGTTGCGAGAACAGTGCATTAGGCACCATGTCCTTCACTGGCTTTACCAGCAGTTGACATTTGGTCGTGTGTTGTCCACACACACACACACACACACACACACACACATTATTTTGCCGAAGCATTTGTGATAACCTGTGGACATCATGACACCTGCCATGATTCAGTGCATGTCTCCTGAGAACAAGGGCCTTCGCCCACATGACCACCATACATTTAGCCTGACACAATACATACTATTATCCAGTGTCCATAGCAAATGTCTCCAATTGTCCCAATGATGACTTACAGATTTTTTTTAAAACATAGAGTCCAACCAAATATAAGTATTATGTTTTCAGTCTACTTTAATCAAAATAGCCCCAAGCCTTCTGTTCTTCAGGACATCAACGTTATTGAACCAACCAGGCCAGTTGTTTTAGGGATGCCCTTTAATTTGAGTGGGTCACTAAGTGTTGGATCCGACTCGATGGCATTGAGCTTTGTGGGTTTTTTTTAATTTGGATTTCTCTCATTGATAGGTTTCTCCCACCATTTGTGTCAGTTTGTTGTACTGTGGTGGCTTGAGTGTTGCTATGATGCTGAAAACTAATGGCATTGTTACTTCAAATGCTAGCAGGGCTACCTATGGTAGACAGGTTTCAGTGCAGCTTCCAGACGAAGACAGACTAGGAAGAAGGACATGGTGGTCCACTTCAGAAAAATTGGCCATTGAAAACCTTAGGGATAGCACAGCAACATTGTCTGATATAAAAACCAAAACCAAAAGAGGAACTCTGGTGATATAGTGCCTAAGGCACTTGACTGCTGACCAGAAGGCTGGTGATTCAAGCTCTCCAGTCACTCCTCAGAAGGAAGGTTGGACAATCTACTCCTGTAGTAATACTGCCTCGGAAACCCAAGGAGGGGTCGCTATGAGTCAGAACTGACTCAATGGCAGTGATGAGCCCCTCAGGTCAGAAGGCACTCAAAATACAACTGGGGATGAGTTGCCTCCTCAAAGTAGAGGTGACCTTAATGACATGGAGGGAGGAAAGCATTCTGGATCCTCATTTGCTGATAGGGGACAACTCAAAATGGGAAGAAACAGCTGCAAACATCCATTAAAAATTGGAACCTGGAATGTACAAAGTATGAACCTAGGAAAATTTGAAGTTGTCAAAAATGAAATGGAACGCATACAAGATTGATATCCTAGGCATTGTTGTTGTTGTTGTTGTTAAGTGCCGTCGAGTCGTTTCCGACTCATAGCGACCCCATG